TCATTTCAGTTATTGTTTATCCAGTCAAAACAGTCTTCGCAACCAACAGCCCCACCATTATAATTAAAGAAACCAGTACTGGCAGGGATCCTGGAAAGGCAGGGTCAAAATCATCAGGACCTTCAGTACCAAGTTCCTCCCCAGCACTAACGGAACACGAACAGAAGCAGCTGAACGAAGGTACTGATACTCATAACTATCGGCTTTTCAATGAAACGCCAAAGAGATTTTAAAATGTCCAATTTATATTTACGTCAGTCCTGTGAAATGCTATCTGCTCAGTTCTCCATGGACTTACCATTATTCAAATGGTACCGCTTTAACAAAGGTTCGAAATATTAGATATATTATTAATATTGGTCTACTCAGAAGTTTTATTTACTTTTTTTGTTGCTAGAACTATCAAAGAGAGAAAATAGTAATCTTTTTAAGTGTCACACGCACAATGAGGCCAGAGTAAGGGGAAAGGTCGTTATTTGGCCGTGGAGAATCAGGTGTGGCATTTGCACCAGAAACGTACAGCTACGATGTGACTCAGATCTGAAGGGACGGATATCATATTTTGATAGACGTAAGTTGTTCATTGTCATAAACAGCAAGCCATAGCCATATCTGCTGGTTATTTGACCATTATTGCTTCAATTTAGTATCGATTGCTGGAAAAATGCCCAGACGAAAGCTGTAAACAAAATTATTTTGGGGCTGTCTAGAGTGATTTTAAAACTCCTCTCCTCATTCGTTCGGTAATTCAAGAAGAGCTCCATTTTAATCCAGTCGGTCATCCTACAGGTCCTACAGCGACTTAAGCTTTTCAGAAATGCATTGACTTTCTATTATTTTCCTGGAAATTTAAGTGATTATTAATGGTAACGAGTAAGAGTTTGGTTGGAATATATTTGTCGTAATTTATCTTTTTTAAGCGCGTTTTCATATATATAACACACGGCATTTTAAGGAAGTGAAAAGTAGGGAAGCAGATTTGCCTCATTTTGAAAACGTATATGATTTGCCGCATAGCAAAAATATCGAATATTATTTACTCGTATCTAACAATACTTTTAATTTTCCAAGATCATTTTACCAAATGCAAACAAAGCCGAGATGGTCAAGGTTCTGTCCAAGACGCCAGACAAAAGAACATCAAAGATTTTTTACAGGGAGTGAAAAGAAAAGGGGAATCAGCTAATGCATCTAGGAAAGGGAAGATTCAGAAGAAGACAGAGGAAGAAAGTACCGAAATTGACTCGGACATCGATGCTTCTGACCTCGAACAGTAAATATGTTTAGCTATTTACACTTTCGAGTATTCCATTATATTAATATAGAAGGCCTTTGTCATTGAGAGACAGACTTGAACAACCAGGCATGTACATGTCTGCTGCCACTGATATTATTAATCGACATCGCTGAGGGAGCCACTGAATGGTCCTTACTTTTAATTATTATTGTCATATGATATTTAATCTGATGTGTGGTACAACCCACGTTGTTAATCTTGTATGTTGTGTACTGTAATATGAGTGTGGCGAATTCAGCGGAAGTAATAAAAACCCAAAGATTGTTTTCGTCTAGGTCCTATGACTCCAGTAATGAGGAAAACGATTCTGTCGATTCTATATGCAGCGGCGAAGGAGACAGTGAGTCCGACTATGATCAGAATAGTGACGAGGAGGACTGCTTCTGTGTTGCATCCGATACTGAAAGGTGTGGTCTTGACGATGAAATCGATAGTCTTGATGGGGATGATCTTTATGCTGTGCACGTAGGTGTTGAAACCGCGGATCCATTATGTGTTAAGCTGAATGATTTAATCAAAAGAGGAAAAATCCCAAAGGAAAGAATATTGTACAGATACTTAAATGACGTCGTAGAAATAATGTACAACCCATTTCACAAATATGATCCCGAAGTCGTCGAGTTTTTTAATACCATCACCTACCTTGGTGGAAAGCGCACAGCTAATTTCATTAGAGGGCCTATGAATGTAGGGGATGGGCGGCACAGCCACCTCAACCACGAACAGGACAAAAAAATCAACCTGGGTGGACCATCCGAATCACTTATTCAAAAGTCCCAAGCAGGATACAATCCGGAATCCGGTGTCATCAAGCCGCTATCCTTAGGACATATTGAACTTCTGAAAAACTCTGAAGCCAAACCTCTTATCAAAACCGCCAATCTTTTGGTAATTCCTTGCGCCCTAGCAAATGATGGGACAGCACTTAAACCCGCGATTGAATTTGACGCGCGCCTCAAAGAAAACGTGGGTTTGAAATTTCCAGTTGATTTAGAATACATTAAGAAGAACCAGAAACCATCCCCCGAACATCTTAGAGACAACATTATCACAGAGGCAATTGTCTCATCGCTCACGTCTTTAGATAACTTCTGTTCCCTACCCGTGGCTGTAGACTACTCAACACAGTCAGGGAAGACCGCTCAGACTATGTCAAGCCTTTTTGAGGAACACATCAAAACGTTACAGGTTTGCCAGGCATGCCAAGAAAGATTGCCAGGTCGACGTCATATTATTTCATCCAATCAAATAAATTGCACCAGTTTTTGCCACACATGCTACGACGCAAAAACAGTGTGTCCTAAATGCAAGGTGGCAGGGCAAGTCAGTTATGTACCTTCATTAAGAGCTTGTGATGCATGCCTTGGGCGAAACATTGTTTGTACTCGGCGAGTGGTAATGGTGTTATGTAGCGACTGTGAAACAGGAAACAAAAAATGCTTTTGAAATATTGAATGAAAAGCTCGAAAAAGGTGTTATAGATCCCTACCTGAGTTTTTAAGCATTTTGCCTGATTGTCCACATGTCGGTAAAAGCATGAAGGCGGCTTTTTCAAATTGGTGGCTAAAATGCAAAGATGAGAGAATCAACTTGGGTCTTCTAAGAACTGTGAGAAATCGCTCCGACAAAGCCACCAAGGATTGTTTCAGAAAACTTATACCAAAAAACGATCATGTGAAAAATAAGGACCGACAGGACCCTTCCTCCGTCCTCACTTTAAGTGCTGAGAACTTGACCGACGCATTGAAAGACATTGGATATGTATGCCACACTATCGTACCCGAACTGGACAAATACTCGGCTGACAATCAACGTGGCATGTATCCATGTCCAATCAGTATTGCCGTACCATCATATGGGTGGATTGCCTTTCTTTCGTTCGATGCAAAGAATGGTAGTTCTACCCTGTTCAAAGCTCGTCTTCACAGTCCCGTCGACAAAATCACTGTTCTCAGCAAAAACCTCAAGGTTAAACAGATCCATTGCTCTGACGGTATAATATACCTAACTTCCGACAAAGGACCTATCAGGGCCATTGAATTCTCTGAAGGAACAATCAATATGATTTCAAAGGAAAAGAAAAGAAAAGATGACCTTGTCAACTTGGCAAGAAAACTTAAAGTGTCACCGGTGGGGACTGTTGCTGAAATTTCGTCGAGACTGAAGAAGTATTTCGAATCAGTCAAAAATCAATATCAAGGAAAAAGTGCCAGAAGTGACGAGATTAACTTCTGGGACAAGGAAATACAACCCAGCTTTGAGGCCATGGTTTGTGTGGCCAGTGATTTGATCTATGCAGCTGAAGTTACAAACAAATCAATCGTTTCCGTCGAAGTCGAAAGGGACGGAGTTGGTCTCAAGGGGAATAATCTCCAAAGAATTTTCTTACGGAAACACATGGGGAAAGGTTTACAGTATGTGCCTCAGTAACAGAAATCTGTTTGTATCCCATGTCCAGGGAATAAGCATGATCAACATGGAAACCAGTGAGTGTCAGTTAGCCGTGAAGCTTGACGATGAACCTTGTGTTCTTACAAGGTTTAGCACAGACGTCCTATTCACAAACCAGAAGAAGTCTTCAATATGGCAACTCAGTGGCAATGGAAAAGAGTTACGTTTGTTTGCTGGCTCTGACAAAGAAGACGGAAATATAGATGGGCCTATCAAAGAATGTCGCTTTAAACAACCAGTAGGCATTTGTACAGAGTTCGATGGTGTTGTGTATGTTTGTGACGCACAAACGAACTCAATAAAGATCTGCACCAAATTAAAAGAGTGTGCCCACTTTCTTAGTGCAATTGGCTGTTTGTATGAAGCTTTCTCTGTGCATCAGAAAGGTGCACAGTATACTGTTAAGACAGGAGAGGAAGCTATTGGTCTTGTTAGGCAATGTAGAAGGATGCTTGACGAGAATACCTATGATATTCAAGAAACCACTGGCATTACAAGAAGTCTCAATGGACCTCAAGGCCATGTGTCGGCCAGGACAGTAGCGTCGGTTTCCATGATAGAAAAAGGGCTCCAGAGATTGTACACTAACCTTGAAAATTTTGATTACGAGAATACACTAAATCTTTTGAGCTGTATGACACTAGATGTGGAGAACTGTCACGCCACCGTACATGTAAAGCAAGCAAACATGTCAATGGCAGAATACTGCAGGTCATTTGGCTTGGCAATGAAGGAGGCAGTGAAACGGATGACCTCTTGGGCTGCATACTACCACACAAGCAGGCGATCTTGGTACCCCAAACCAGAGGGTTGTTTGCAACTATCGCAGGTTCCTATCATGAAACCTCTACCTAGTGTCAGTATGAGCTCAGCCGACTGCAACGCACTCAGGGACTGGGCATCCTCCTATGGAGCTGCCGGAAGACAACGAACGGTACGCCAAGAGACTACCATGGCAAAGCATGGCACGCTCCCTGAGTTTATGTACCAAAGACAATGCAACATCTCAGAGAATCCTGTATCTATTGCCTTTGATGAACGCGTTAACAGGGTAGAAGATGCCAACGAAAATAATTCGGAAGAAGACGAGAGTGACGCCGAGTTTGATGAAAGCAGCGATGAAGATGTTGAAGATCATGGTCGGGAAGAATCGCTTCTTCAAGGAGAGATCGGAAGCTCGGCCACGTTTCTCCTGGGAGCCAAGACTCGATTCGGGAGAGTTGTTAGATTTAACAATCGTCTGCTCTACTGACCACAGAAACGCTGTAGCTGGGTCGTAGACTGGGTCGACGTCTTGAAAACCTTTCAACACAGAACAGTGTCAATTATGAACATGAAACAGCCTCATAGGAGTCAACTGTTTTCCGTCAGACTTTATGATCCAGGTTAGAAATAAGGTTAGTAATAGTAATATGCCTGTTGTATCATTTACGTATAAACGTTTAATGAACCAAAACGAGTGCGACGGTCGTATGTTTATCTTATGCTTACCATCGACGCACCTTGATTTGGAAACACTGACATAAAAATATTATTGCTATTTAAAAGGCGGAACTGTTAGTCTTCAGAACGGCAACTTTTCGCCATTTGTTTCGATTTCGGTATTTGGGTAAATTTTTACGCGGTATTGCGGTTTTCTCTCTCTACCATGTGCGGTATTGCGGTATTCTCGCGCTACCACGTGCGGTATTGCGGTATTAGTACCCCCCTTACGCCCCCCTCCATGGAGTCTTCTACATTTTGACTGAGCAAACTTTTTTTTGCCGCTTTGAGTCTCACATTTAGAGGTAATGAAGCTGGTCCGTTCCATGCATATTGAGTAATTAGTTCCTGTGGTTTATGTTTCGGCAAATCTTTTTTTTTTTTGACAGGATTTAATTAATCACAGCTGCAGTTTACCGTTACATGATTTTCTTTTACCTTTGTTTAAGCCTTAAGCTTTTTTATTGCGGCTAAATAATAACCTCAGTTTCCTTGGTTTTCTCCGAAATGCCTGGACCTGAATAGCTAGCTACGTGTGTAGTTTTTTTGGGCTGTGAACATCTTGATTTCCTGATTTGTTTTGACGCTAGAACTGTCGGCTAGATGGCAAAATACGCGGCAGAGCATCTGCAGCGATTGGAAGACGCTGGAAAACCAGTCGGCAAATATACAAGCAAATTCAGGCCTTGAAGGAATTCTCTCAAAGCATTTTTTTGTTTAGAAGAAGGCTTTAAAGTTCGAACTGTTGTTACATATATTGTTTACTGTAAACGATCCTAATGCCAACTCCCTTCTGTGAATGTTGACATGTCACTGTGCCCAACCGTCATGCACATGTAAGAATTAGGCCAATCGTGAGGCGCATAAGAAACCGGCGAGATCGAAACTCGCCTATCAGAAACGCTCACATATATCCTTGCGACTCTGCAGGATATTAGAACGAGCTTTTGTGTAGTAATTCGCAGACGAACTATACAAATGGTTTTGACGAGTGCGTGGGCCGCCTGCAACTCAGGCTGTACGCGCATGCACGTAATCTTCAGCCCAGAATAGCATCATTCATGCAGGATGTTTGAACCAACAGAAATGTTTGTTATCCGAAACAATTCGGCTTTGGCCGTATAAGTGAGGCTGATGGTAATCTTATAGACTGCGAACAATTTCTCAGTCCTATTTCAGTGAAAGCTTCGGACCCCGGGGGGCTACTCAACATGTTTTCTAGAGTCTTTCTAGGGAAGTCCAACCTCTTTTGAACAAATAGGTGCCTTAATATTTACTACATTCATACAAGTATCCTATTACTGTACAAAATTACAAGGTAGGAGACCAAGCAAGTTTTGTTGAGCTGCTAGATGATCTCCGCTTTAATAGATGTAAAGCATAACATACTTCGACTTCCTGTTTTAACTTAAGAAACAGTGTTAGTATGAAAAACTTTTTCTTTAAGAGTAAATCACATGCTCTTTGACTTTTTTTCTTATTCTGAGTAAACATAATATATAAACCTATGTTTCTTATATTTGAGGGATGGTCGTTCCATATGATTGCTCCCTTAAAACCTACAGAATATTTGCCATAATTTGTTCATCTATATAAGTAAGTCAAAATGCATCTCCCCTTATCCTTTTATGTAGTACCATTTTTGACATAGATGATAAACCTTCCGTATACCTTTCATTCATTCATAAATGGCACGCCTTTCACATTCCTAGTTTAGAGATTTTCTCTTGGCTTAGAACGCTGCATCCCCTGGTTAAATGCTGTAAACGCTCAGTATTTTTAAATATGAATGAATCACTAAATCATGAATTTTCTTGACTTTTTCACAGCCACAAAAAGCGTCTTGTAAACCAATTTAGGTATCCTCTTTTATAGCACGCAATGACATATTTTCCTATGCTTTTATATATCGTAACTAGACCAAAAGTGAAATCCCTACCCTTTTATATACCCGGACGCCGGACTAAGGTACACCTTTCGGGCGGAAGCTCCCAGTGTCGACCATTAAAGGGAATACCCCCCCCGGGCTTCTGTCAGTCCTATTAGGTCATGCTTTGGTAAGCACCCGCGCGGAGAAACAAAAAGCGGCTTGTCTCATTTGTTTTCTCGTCTTATTCCAATCTGTCTTTGACTGGCCGGGTTTATTTTCCGAACTTTAATTACTAAACGCCATTAAACATTTGGAGGATCTTGGGACAAAAGACGGACTGTATGCATGGCAACTTTTCTTTAATCGCAGTCTAATGCTGTTCAAGGCTCCAAGATAGCGGAGAAAGTGCATCGAGAAAAGTTGCGCGAAAAACGCGGGGGAGCTTGGGGGAGACCGGTAAGTGGAGCCTGTAAGCATTGTTTTCAATACATCATTTCGGTATACCAGCTCCTGGTATACCCTGTGATTGGTCAATTTTGACAACTTACGTCATCCATGTCAATAGGAACGTAACGATCCAACGACACGACAGCAAGGAGAAAGTAGAAAAAGCAAAAACCAAAAACTTCAAGTCATTCGCCCAAACAACAACTTGGCCAGTGCATCACTTTTTTTGGCACGTGACATCATCTTTGTCGTTTTTGCACGATTATAATAGAAAAAAAGCCTAATATCGTGATTTATGGAGAACGTAAATATGCAACGACGAAATTTTATTTCTCTTTCTGGACTGAGATAGGGTCGCTTGAAATTCAACTACAGGAGAGTTCGCCTACATTTGACAAAGTAAGTAGGTCGGAATAATTGTGATTAACACTGAAAAAACGCAAATTCCGATTTTAGGGACGTTCTCGTCTCCGTGGCGTCGTTGGATCGTAAATTCCCTAATCGGTTAGCTTCACACACGCAGAGTCAAAGGACAAACATAGGGAACGTGTGAAACCCTCCTACACGGCACATTTTAACATTTTACACCTCATTTAGACACAAAAAACGGTTTTTCTGGAAGTTGGCGGGGCAGTGGGCGGATTGAGGTATTTAAAAAGATGCTTCCAGGCTCTCCCGAATTCCCCCCTTACTTTGCGACAAACACTGGCTTGATCTTCTCGCCGAACAAAAACCATAATATAATTTGCCTGCAATAATTTCGCCTGTGAATACCCTGATCTCCGTTATACTCTCCGGTTTAGTTAAATTACGTTCTTCTTCTTTTTTTTTCTCTCTAAAAAGGTACAAGACTGTTCTACCCTCTGTTACCAAATGGCCTCTAAAGTTTATTCGGAGGAACAACTTAACTATTTCCGGGTTTGTCACATAGCCACTGACATATTGCCCCCAGCTTTACGACTACTGTTCAAGCAAGAATGGGATAATCGTTACAAGGTAACGTATGGAGAATGGAAAGACACGCCTCAAAATGGATTGGACTTCAAAAACGGTGAGTCCCTTACTAATCAAAGAAAAAATGCTCGATTATTAGCTACGATGGCTAATGGAGATAGAGCACAATGGGACTGTACTATGCTATTTTATGCCATCCTGTACTCTGATTCTATCGGACGTGGACTACGTCCACTGATCAGGACCAACGTTGATGATCTTCGAAAGTTTCGAAATGAAGACTTCGCTCACATGACAGAAGGTCAGCTCTCAAATATAGACTTCAGCATCACTGTTGCAAAAGTTGAGACAGCATTTAGAGCCCTTGGCCTGTCTACTGATGACATCCAAACTGTAAGTAAGCAGAATAGTTTTCCAACCGATGAGTTGCAAAATGTGAAGACAAGCAATCAGAAACTTACTCAAGACCTTCAGACGAAAGATACGGAACTTCAAGACAAAGCTATTGAATTAGAAAAGAAAACAACAGAGCTTTTGCAGAAAGACGTTGAACTTCAGGAAAAAAAAGACAAGTTACAAGAAAGGCATACCGAACTTCAAGAGAAGGAAGCAGAACTTCAAGAGAACAAAGACAGGTTAAAAACTACAGAAGAACAGCGCAAGGTCTTTGAAGAGCAACTTCAGCGCGAGGTGGAGCCATTTTGCGTCCTTCCACCCAGACCTCCCCATGTGATCGCAAGTCGCCACTCTGACGTTGCTAGAGTGTTACAGAAGCTGACTACCTTAAGGAAGGTTAACGTGAACAGTTTAAGTTTCTGTTATATTTCAGGCAATCCCGGGAGTGGCAAATCCCAGCTGGCTGGACTGGTTGCAGAGAATTTCTACAAAGAAGCTCGAAAAGACACGAGTGCTCCTTCATTTGTTATGACTTTAAATGCTGAAAACTTAGAATCGCTTTTACAATCATACTTTTCACTGGCAAGAAAAGTAAGCTGTCCCGCGTACACTATAACTTCCACTGAAAACTCTAAGGATTTAAATACTGAACAGAAAATAGCTATTATCAAAGATTTAGTTGCGACAAAAATTCATCTATACTCATCTTGGCTCTTGGTAATTGACAATGTCACAAATCTCGCAAGAATGGCTCAGTTTCTTCCTGAGCGTGGGAATGAGCAGTGGGGCAAAGGCCAGTTGCTTATCACAACGCAGGATTGTTCCTGTATCCCACCTGAAAGTCCAAGCACATCTCACCTTTCTATAAGCAAAGGCATGATTTACACTGACGTTGCCAACCTTCTATTCGAGCTCACTGGAATCACAGACGATGGTATGGGAAAAAAGGTAGCACACGCTTTGGATTACCAACCACTTGCACTAGCCAGTGCAGGAGTGTACGTGAGAAAGGTACGAAATACCAATCCGGACTTTGGCTGGGAGGAGTACTTACAAAAACTAGAAAAAGGAAAGCGTGAACGTACTGAAGAAGAACTTACCAA